GTAAAATGCCCAGTAGCCGACCCCTCCTGTAATATACACGCCCATGTGTAAGCATTACGCCAAGAAAAGAAGGCGTCACAAAAAATATAGAAAAGGGGGGGGGGGGGGACGAAGGGGCTGAGAGGTGTAAGTGCTTACAAGGAACGGGACTCGGCGATAACGAAGCGACGTTCTCTACTTTACTTTATACTTCTCGCACCCACCTGTCCACAAGTGCCGACGGGGAGTCGAATTTTACTGCGGCCCATAAATTGCGGTCCGAGGGCTCTCGCTGCCGCGCGCGGTGGCGGGGAGGGGCGCGCCCGAAATTTATTTACCCACCAACACACATGCGACCATATACTGCGAGTACCGATTTGTAGCCGTTTTACGAGCTATCGCGCTGTGCGTTAAGAGCGCAACCAGCCCTCCCCTCTTTCAGACGACCCTCTCGGAGGCAAGCTTCGCTAAAGCATTGCGTCGCGCGCTCCGGGAGTCCAAGGCGGGACACACGCACAAAGCTTATCGCCTCCGGCGTTTTCGGCCATTTGCTTCCTCGCGCTATAGTAACCAATTGCTGTTTCTTTGCTTCTCTCTCTTTATGTCTTTCAGCTCCACGACTCCCGCCCTTGGCTACGGTCTGGGTAGAGGCTTCTGCGCAGGGTCCCGCGCAGAAGCCCACGCGGCGAGACTCCAAGTGTTCGCGCCACTCTCTCCCCCTCCTAAACGGCTCGAATGTTGCGAAGTAAAGTGAGCTTAAGAGACCTTGCGCCGCGCAGCCATATATTACGGAACCGCGCGGCGGGCCCCCGCAATGTACACCAAGTTCTCTCCTTTTCTCGCAAGTGCTACGGGGAGGTGCTATAGCCATCGCTGCACTTGAGGCAAGAAATCAGCCCGTTTGTCGTCGTCTTGCACTGAAGTTGCTTACCTCTAAGAAAGAAAAAAAAAAAAAGAAATGGAAAAGGGGGAAGGGGAGAGGAGGTGTTAGAAAGCCAATTGGCCTCTAGCCTTTGTCGGCCTCTCAGAAGCCGAGTGCACTTTTGTCGCTCCCTTTATCTCGGGGCGCATAAAACTCGGCTGACACACTTGTTAACCGCGAAGCCACCAGGCCACATATGTTAGCACGGCCATAAATGTCGTGGGCTCGCCCACAGAAGGAAGCTGCTTTACCGAGGTTGTTGAGTACCGTGGACAGGAGACGCGTGCCACTTGGTTCCCTCCGACGGGGACGGAAGTAAGTTACGACTTGGCTAGCGCCAAGCGTACACGAGGACGTCTTTGGAGCAGTTAACTATTTTACTTTGTGCGCATTGAGATAACCTCCGCGGTGTGCTTTCGCCTACTGGGCCGAGCGTCGGAGTGATGTCGATGGAAGGAAATATTTCAGTGATTGGATATGAATGGCTCAATGATGTTGCAACATATTTACGAGCAGGGGCGAGAATTGTAACCTTTGTCTGATAGCGCTGTCATTGTACAGTGAGTGATAGGAAATTCGCAAAGGAAAATAAAAGGAGACAACAGTCATTACAAATATCATCTTCCGCAAGAACATTATATACCGGGTTGGTACGACTTGGTGCCCGAATACATTTGCCCCCTTCTTTCAATGACAATGATTTTAAAAAAAAGCGAGATTGATGTTTATGAATCATAACATTGTGGAAGCAAATCCCAAAGTGAATGAAGGAAACACCATCCAGTTTTCTATAAATGTGTGGATGACTTCGAGGTATGTGCAGCAACCCTATAGACGCAATGTACGGTGATGTAGATAATTTTTGTGTTATGCCCTGATTCACCATTCACGTTCCATGCTTCTTAGGCAGCGTCTAGGACAAAGCAGCCGTCCAGAATGTAGACTTTCTTATAAATTGTTCTTTTATTGGTTACTTTCATTTAAATCGCAGCCAAGGATGTAAATAGTCGTATAGTTTGGATTTTCCTAAATCGAATGAACCCTATTGCTGAATGATGTTCACTCGCTTCTTGTGCAGCCGCAGTGGCAAAACTACAAGTTTACCCCAAACATTTCAGGCAAAATTTATCACTGACATGCCAAACCCGGAGTGCTTCCTGTTCGCTGATTGCTTCTTTTGGACTCGAAAAAGCACCCTCCTGGAGCCTACAAAGGGTGGCAACTATAGAATTCGTTCGAACGGGGAAATCCCGGGCGCTTCAGCATTCAGTGGCGCCGTCCCGTTTCGAGATATTTGCGCGTCGGCGTGGCGTGCATGGCGCTCGCGAAGGGGCCACCACGTTGTATACGGCGGCGGCTTCATGCGCGCACGCACGCACGTTCACGGCGGCGGCTGGCAGACGACGATCCGGGCATGCATGCAGACACAGGTGGGACGGTGTAGCCGCCTGGGAAGCCGACGGGCAAGGAAAACAAGAGCGGCGAATGCAGAGGCCGCCGGCCAATGAGCGTCCGCTCGGGGACCTTCGTGAGGCTGCTTTCCTGTTCCACGGCGCGGGCTCTTGATGTCCGCGAGAGGGGGGGTAGGAAAGAAAGGCACGGCGCATCGCAATGAACGTGCGAGGCGGACCAGCGCCGCAAGGGGGTCGGCATCGCCCTCCCCGGCCGTCCCTTCCCCCTCCCTCACCTGGGCCGTCCCCCGCACCTAGTCGGCGATATTATACACCCGCCGAGGGCCGCAAAACGAAAACATACATCGCACTCGGTTGCCGACGCCGCCGCCAGCCCCAGGTCACTCTCGGGTGACTTACGTAAACGCGGGAACGCTCCGCCAGGGTCGTCCGTCAGCCAGACACTCGCGCCGACGTCGGCCTGACCGCAGGAGGGACCGGCACTCGGAGTCGGCCGTGTCGACTTCGAATTGTCCGTCGTGCCCCTTTGGATTATCGCCTTCGTTCCTCTTCTTCATCGCGCTCCCCCCCGGCACCTCGCCAACGACGGCGCAGGAGTCGCGCCAGGCTACGCCGTCGTCGCACGGCTGGACACCTATGACGGAGTGACAGACGCAGCGCCCCGGACGGGACGGCCCGATCGGCGGTGGACCCCCTGGAGATTTTCGCGGAGGGCGCACCGGCCGGAAGCCGCGGCGCGGGCAACAATCGCAGCAGCCACGTCGGAGAACCCCCTGCCGCGCTAGGTGTGTGCCCAGGGAGTGTGATTATTGTGCGTGCGTGTACGCCGAGGCAGCTCCTGCTCGGTGTGTCGAGGGAGGCGAGAAAAACGGAAAGAAAAAACGCCAGTGACCGGTCACCTCTTCCGCTGACCGATTGTGCGCGGGTTGCAGCAGCGGTCCTCGGTCATTGGCTGAACTCCGGGGTCGCTCCTTCGAGCGGTGTTTGGCTGTATGTGAACGGCGCGTGAGTGCGTGCGTGAGTGACTGTGCGTGCGGAGCTCCCTCTCACGGGCAGAAACCGTTCGCGTGCGCCTCGTTGATGCCTCGGTGTTAGCTTTTCAGGTTTGACGAGGGAAAGGAGGAGGCGGACACCGGGTTCGGTCGCGAGTGAGCGGCGGTAGTCAAACGGCCACACAAACGCTTTGGAAATGAAGAAAATGCGAGCAGGGAGCGACCCACACATCTGTCGTCGTTCGGCGCTAAATTTAGAGCCCGGGTCCTCGTGGCCCTTGTGAATCCCCCGGTGGCTGCCGTGTCGGGAGTGGCAAAGGGCCTCCTCGGAAGAGTTGGCTCGCATCACGCGCCACTTTGGCTCCGGCGACGGGCTGCGTTGGCCAGGTATTATAGCTCGGGCTCGCCGGGACGCAGAAGGGAGACTGCGTCGAAACGGATGCCATTCTGCCGTCGACGCTGAGGACTCGTGAGTATGCAGATGACTTTTTTCTTTGAACCGCGCTGCTCTTCACCGTAGAAGAAGTTTTTTATATAGGCTGACCCAGCGAAGCATATATATACTATACCGGATAATCGTGTAGACGAAGCTAATACTGCAGAGCACACATGTTCTTAAGCCAGGGTTAGTCAGGACTGTCAGAACGTTTTTAAAGGTGACGAATCAAGTATGGGTCGTAGGCCGCACGTTTCGCATTTATAATGACCAATTAGTTTCATTTGTATTGTTCGTATAATTTAAAACGAGGAAAAAAATCAGTTCTTTGAGTTTTGATATCTGCTTCTTTTTGTTTGCTTCTTTGTTTGTTTATTCGTGAGAAAAGAGGAATTCCAAAAGAAAGGATTTACTTCTAAATAAATGAATAAATTATATACAGGCTCAATGCAGCCTCGCAAAGTGAAAACTTTGCTGGTGTTAACTGAAATTGGCAAGGAATATATAGCACTCGTGCAAAGTTGTTCAAAGAGGCAGCGGGATGCACACGCTGCCTTTCTCATTATCAGCAACATAGCCGATTAACAGCTGAACAAATACAGAAAGCGAGAGCGGCCTTCATAAAAGAGCAGTCCGCAGCTTCGCCTGCATAACAGGCACGTGCCCCCATATACCTGAAGCCCGTCTGCAAAAGGTGCAACGAAGCAATTTTCGCGCGAGTGGTAAACGATTACGCGAGTAACCGGACACCAGCGCGGAAGGTGTTTCCGGCCGTGATGTATTGAGCGCATAACAGACGTAACCCAATACGTTAGACGGGAGAGGCGATTCCCGTCCGCTCTCTCCGCAACACGTCGCCTATATAGCATTGGGAAAGCCGCTCTCCCGACTCAGTCACCGACTTTGTCTTCTTTTTTTCGTGTATAGAGTCGTTAGAGCACCACTCCCTTTGCAGTGTCTCATGCTAGATCACGCGTTTCAGCGTGCTTTTCAACTTGAAACGTAGGGCTACTTTTATCATGTAGGATATGAAATTTAGTACCATGACCTCGCAGACGAACAAAACAACGAAAAGAGATCACCGAAGGAGTAATATTTCGTAAAATCTAAGCACTAGGATCGGTGCTAATCAGACAGCGCTCTTACAAGCGTTATTTTAGCACGTGCTACCAAGCGAGGCACGCCAGGTTTTGCTCGTTTCCCATTATGGTTATTGACAGGGAACGCTATGCCGTTGTGAAGTCTTCGAAATCTAGTACATGGAAGGCGACGTTTCCAGCTATGTCGAGACCGCCATGTTTCAAAGTGCTACAGTACGAACGCTTTGCTGTGCGGAATTGTTTGTTTTTTTCTTAAATACGAAGAAAAACAGTGGCAATTGCGAAACCAGTATTTCGAGCCAGTTCCGTAACTTTGGCAGCGGAGCACATAAACACTGAGAGGAGAAAATGGAGTTGTCCGTCTCGCCTGGGCAGGCAAGCTCTCGTCAGAATGGCCATCAGCAGGCCGTCTAGCTGACGTGATCGCGAGCCACAAATCAGTGGGCCCTCGGTCCGGTTGGCATGAGCGCCGCGCGACGGCCTGCCCGCTGGTCAGCGTCGCGCGCGCTGATTGGTCGGTGGCTGCCCGCGCGCCCAAGGTGTCTGTATTCTTCTCTCCTGGGCCCCGAAACGTGAGCCGGCCGCACGGCAGCCGAGGAGGAAAGCAAAGGCAAGAGAAGGAAGCCCACAGGCTCCCCCCACCCATCGTAATGGACACGTGAGGGGGTCTCTCTTCCGACGTCTAATCCATATCTCATCATAAGCATTTCAGCTGCCAGGTTATGCGGCTGGCAGGCTTGACGCACGAGCGACTCCTTCGGACAGGGCGCCCATTGGCCGTCCGAGGCCCGGTCACGTGACGGGCTACCTGTGATTACAGCGGCGGCGCGCTAATTTGCCACTGCCGGGCCGACGGGTACCTTAGAGCCTGCTCCCCCACCATTGTTTCCCCAGTGTCCGGTCCGCGTGGGTCCGCGCCCTCCTCTCCGGGACGGCGGTGCCCCGTGGCAAGTCGAGAAGGCGCGCCGTGACGGGCCGCGCAATGCTGACGGCCTCGACTCCTCCGATCGGCAGCGGTTCGTCATGACCTCGTACTTCGGCAACCTGAGCCCGGGCGCGACAGGCTGGCCCACCGGCGCCCAGGACCCGCACCTCTACGCCCCGTCCAAGTACTCGGCCGCGCCGGCAGGTTACGTCGACACACCCGGAGCCCACCACCACCAGTACGCGGCGGCTGCGGCCGCAGCTGCCGCCGCCGCAGCGGCATCGGCGACCTTCGGCTCCGGCGGCCGCTACCCGTACTCGGGCCGCTTCGATGCAGCTCCCAAGGGACTCGGATACGATGCCCACCAGCACCCGATGTCGCCGTCCCATCCCCACCATCACCACCATGGCCATCCGCAGCACGCTCACCACCAATCCCTGGGTTTGCCGCCTTCTCACCACCATCACAACATGCTGCCGCAGCAGCAGCAACCCGGGGCGGCGTGCTACGAGCCCCCAAACGTGGCTCCGTACTACTCGGCCGCTGTTCCTGCCAGGCCTCCTCCCGAGACGCACGCCCACGTGGCCCCGACGTCGGCGGCGGTCGCCTCGAAGGAGTACGGCAAGCCGACCAGCACCGTCTCTCCCTTCGCTGCCATCGTCAAGCCGCAGCAACAACAGCCTCAGCAGCAGGCGACGCAGTTCCCGGGCCAGAGTTCGGCGGCTTCGAGTCCAGTGGCGGCGACTCCCGGTAGCAACGGCGCGGGATCGCAGCCCGACGGCAACGGTCCCGGCACTCCCGAGAGCTACGCCGGGAGCGCTGGCAGCGCGGAGCCGGTTTCCGGGAACGAGCGCCAGGGGTCTCCCACGAACGCGCAGTCTCCAAGCAAGACGGACAACTTCTACCCGTGGATGAAGTCGTACTCAGGTAAGCCAGTGTCGGACGTGTCAGCATTCACATATTGACACTGATTTTTTTCATCGTTATTTTTGTGCTCATAGTTGCATATAACTTGGTGTCACAGTCAAATATTCTGAAGTATTCTAACTCTATAAGCTCGTTTTATGTTGACATAGGTTGCCAACGTGCCAACGGTCGGTAGACATTCAGAATCAATTTTTTTTCAGTACTCGATAGACAATTGAACGTTAAAGATACATTCTGACGTGTGTTCTGCGCGATCCATTGTTTTACTTGATTTCATTTGCTACATGACTGAAAGTCGACAATTATTATTATTAGTTTGTAAAACTCATTCTTGGTTTCAGCAATGACATTCCATTTTTTTATTTAATTTGCGCGAAGGTATACTCTCATTTTCGGACAGAGTGCCACCTGGAGATAGAAAGATACTCGACTGACTCAGCGAATTGGAATTTAACGCCAGTCTTACGTTGTGTGTCATAAATAATATATTAGTTAATATATTAATTTTACTATATATATCATGCTGTTGGATCAAAACATTTTTGGTAATATGCATATTACAGGTTAGTTTTGAGAATCTGCTCGAGCAAACAATTTACAGCTGTCTTTTAACGGCCGTTTCGGAGTTCCTTTTTTATGTAAGGTAAAATTTAAATACCTGGAGCGCAGAAATTTTTCGCAGAAATTTACGAACCGTACTTGAAGACATCGTTTACAGAATACCAATTTCGTTAGCTACACGTATGATCAATTTCAGCTCGAAAAAAAAAAAGGCTTTCGCAATATTATGCAAGACACCACGTCTCATTTTACGTGGTGAATGAAGAAAAGATACCTCAGGCAAAAAAAAAAAAAAAAACAGATTCTTAATACAAAATTTTCTCTTGGACTATATATCTCGAACATTTTCACTTGGCATGAAAGAACTTTTCAGAAGATTAGATGCTCAATAGCTTATATCTACTTGCGCGATTAATGCAGAAGACGTATGAATGTTTTGCAGGGTTTGCGATGACACTTTGACGTGTTAATCATGTGCGAAATCGGTAACACCACTATCAAAGCTTCACGGCACTCAATTCTGTTGTCCTGTCCCAGATATACAAGTCCATTTATTTCAGTTTTAGACGCACTGAAACTTTATAAGGGAAGAAGATGCTGACCAACGTAGTCATGCACGGACAAAATTTTGCGAGATGTCGGGGCGCCGTTCGAAAGCTGTCGCTGGGCTGTGTCCGCATGCCCGCAGCCACGACTACTGCGCGCATCGGCGGTGGCACCACATTCTATAGAACAGCCTGTTGAACACAAGCTGCCTCTAGACCGGTACTTCGGCGCCTCGCAAAATTTTGTCCGTGGCGTTAAAAAGTTACGCTTCTTGGGCAAGCAAGAGTTGGGACATTTCATTGTATACACATCAGATAAAAAAAAGCTGGTGGCCTGCGAAAGCCAACATTGAATGACGCGTATAACCGCCAAAAGGCGTTCAGCACAGCATGCATGCAGCCGCACCTGTGAGACGTATATTGCTGTGCACCGGTGTCCCACGAGGCAGTTATCGACTCCACACGCCACCTATCGGGGATGTTCTGGAGAGCTCCCGCGGCGCGAGTATGTATGTAAACCCGGGGTGCCTTCTTCACTTTATTACGCGACATTGCTACCCGCCGCTCACTCATTTCGGCACCTGCATCAATGGCTTTGAAAAAGGCCGGTTAAGCATTTGTTGTTGTCGTGTGTGAGGGTGTTTTTTGTTCTGATTGCACCACTTACCGTTTAACATTCACTGCATGCGTTGATAGGTTTTCTTTAGATAGCTTGTCCGCAGTTGCCAACCGTATATATGTTAATGCGCTCTTTTCTGGGGACAGCGATTGCGATGACAGCGTAAGGAGGAGGGAACGACAGTAGCGAGACGGCAGGTTCCACGGGCCATGGTTGCCGCCCGCGGCGCCACCGTACTGCGCACCGTCGCGCGTGCATCTGTTGCGGAACGCACCCATGACCTGCCTTCCACGGTGTCCCATCTATCGATGCAGTCGTGCTACTCTCCGTCGGCGGCGGCTGATGTGAAATGGGGTGCACGAAATATTCCGCGCCAGTCACGCTACTCACGGCGTTCTCTTCTTAACGTAAACCGTGCACCTATATACACAAAATAGCCTCAGCCAGTTCCTTCTGAAGAATGAGCCACGCGACTGGTGGAGCAGTGCTTGCTACTAAATGAGTTGCCCGAGCAGGGGAGGGGCTCAACACCGTCGACGCCTGAATCCAGAGGGGCGCGCTGCCGAAGCAGAACCGTTTCCCCCGACTTATCGCAATATCAAAACACCTAAACAGATGAAACAGACGCCTTAGAATTCGCACCGGGCAGTATCATAACCGTACACTGAAGTTTGACAGTTCCCATAACTATACATGCGGAGAAGACAGTGCCTTCATGACCTTGTTGCTCCCACATTGTGCAAAAAGCAACGTCAAATTTCTCAGATAGATCAATTGTCGTATTTGCTCCTATATGCAGCCATCACGTGCTAACTCTGGCTGTTAGCTAACGTTGGTTAAAATACGGCTAATGTTCGTAGTCGAATGTTCGCTTTATTTTACCTCACAGCTTTAACATTAAGCATGTCTTCATTCGATACGTCTCCCAACACTTAGCTGCCTACCCATTATTTTTTGCCCGTGTTTCTTGTACGTCTTATCGCACCACGTATGGCGATTTTTCAGCACTTCTTTTGCATTCTTACCCCTTTGCCTGGTTGTCTTAGTGTTAATGTTTTGCAACTACTACTCAATTTTGTGGAATCACCAATATGGTCACTGTTCGCAGGGCTTTCGGTGTCGCACAACTTCTAGTCACAGTTTAACCCCGGCATGGCAGAATAAAAAAAAAAAGCCTGCCATGAAATGAACTCTTAAAGAAAGTACCGAGTATATGCGTCCCATACACGTCTATATCTACTTCTATCCATATATATATTTTCTCTCGTCTCTCTCTCTCTCTCTCTCTCTCTCTCTCTCTCTCTCTATATATATATATATATATATATATATATATATATATATATATATATATATATATATATATATATATATATATATATATATATATATATATATATAGGGCGAGAGAGAGCAAGTGACAACACGCTCACGCATCTGTAGAGGAGGAACAAATGGGGAGAGAGTAAATGTTCAAATATTAGTTTAGAATAACCGGTATGCTACCCTGGAAGGGGATGAAGAACTTCACACCGGGAAAGTTAGGCAAAGAGAGAACACAGACACAGTAAGTAACGGAAAGGCTTCATTAGCATGTGCACCATTACATGTTCGATAGAGCATGGTCATCAGCAGGATATTTCTGGGGGGAGGGGATGCTTCGCGGTGCTGGGGGGAAGGGGAAAGCACAGGTGTAGCTTGGGTGAGGGCAAGTGCTGGTAAGGCTTGTGGTGGGGGTGGGGGGGGGGAGTGCCTTTTTGCACCCCACTGCCGACGCCCATGTGATGAAGTGCTACTTCTATGTGGCATTTAGGATAACCTACCTACTATGGATTATGTTACATTTCAAGGGGGTGCTGGTTCGTTAAAACAATAAGGTAGTGTTCCCTTTAAATTTTGCAAACAATGCTGTTCAAAGCTAGGGTGTATTTACTTAAATACGTAATTGTGTTTATCTCTGCAACAGAACCTACCCACTATGGATTATGTTACATTTTAAGGGAGTGCTGGTTCCTTAAAATAAATAAGGTAGTGTTACCTTTAAACTTTGCAAACAATACTCTTCAAAGGGTGTATTTACTTACATTCGTAAGTGTGTTTATCTCTGCAACAGAAACCGACAGAGAAGCAGAGCAGGGAGTTTAGCCTGCAGTGTGTTGTGTTAGTTCCATTTGTGTAGTGTCGGTCTTTTTGGGTACATCAGTACCTATATTGCTTCCAGCTATTTATTTGTACGACATTAAATCTCAATGAATAAACAGACATTAAGAATAAGCTACGATTTGACTTGACGCATGCAAGCTTAACTGGTGCCTATATACTTACGCACTTACTCACATCAAGCTATAGATATTCTGTAGTACTAGGAAGTTCAATAAAGAAAGCGTACACTTGCTCTGCCATGGTGTCGATATTTAAATGCTGTTTCAATACAAAAAAGGGCACATCCCGTTGAGGACATAACAAAAGTTCTTACGCAAAATAATTACACTGTATACATACGAAAAAGCATAGGGATACCTAATTTTAGGCAAGCCTTGTCGCCATATATACCTTAATTTTGAAATTATGTCGTAAGAGCCCGTACGTTTATTAAACAGGTTCAAATCTCTGGCGCCACAGTCAGGTTTCCTTAATGTCGAAGCATTTCCCCAATGAATAAAGATAGTCTGCTGGCGCCTTCACCGAACGTACTTGACACCTTAGCAACGCGTAAAATCTAACCAAGAAAGCCTAAACCGCTGCCCCTGTGCTCAATCGTTCGCTAATTTCGCTGCCTGTGTAACAGTGAAGCCCGCCGCGAATAAGTGAAGGAAGTGCCACCATTATAATCTGACTATATCATCATCATCTCACACATGCTTAGTAACGTTACGTTACACACCTAGTTGTAGACGTACATGGCTTGATATAACTTGCGAAGTGGTTGTTTGACCAGCTGGCAGTCACGGGAATCATCGCTGACAGGGATTTTTTTGTTTCTTTGGTTTTTTCTGTTTTTTATTTGTTTCATTTTTGTTTTTGTTTTTTTTACATTTTCTTTCCTTAGTTCTTGACACGTGTTTGTTTCGGGTTGTGGTCGCGTGCATATTTTGTTATATCACGTTGTTGGTGATGACAGGGGAAGTCGGGAATGACGTACATGCGTGTGATGTATTTATTAGTGTTCGCTTCGAAATTAAATTTTCAGTTGCTAGTAAGCGCTTGTCTGTGTCTTCTCTGAGTGTGTGTATTTTTGCGCTTGTTTTATCATGAACATTTACCAACACGCCCAACTGACAGTAATTCTAAAGGGAATAACACGTTTGTGTCACGTCGGTACGCAGATTCCTCGCAAGGACCCAAGCGGACGCGGCAGACTTACACCCGATACCAGACCCTGGAGCTGGAGAAGGAGTTCCACTTCAACCGCTACTTGACGCGGCGCCGGAGGATAGAGATCGCGCACGCCCTGGGCCTGACCGAGCGCCAGATCAAGATCTGGTTCCAGAACCGGCGCATGAAGGCCAAGAAAGAAAACAAGCTTCAAGGCGGACTCCTCGTTCCAAAGCCTGGAAACGAACTAGTTAGTGTGCTTCAGGACTCCAAGGGGCTCGGTGCGACCATGCTGGACAGTGTGGTTTACAGCTGAAGAGAGGAGCATGTGCGCGCCCGACGTAACATCGTGGTGTGCAACCCGCTTCGCAAAGTGTACGCGCGCGTGCGCACTGAATGTGTGTCTGTGTGTCAGTGTCAAGTCATGTGTACATTTCCATCGTCCTTAAATACACCAAGCACCTTCCTCACGAAACGCGGGAACAAGCGAGAATGACGGTTTGAGAGCATCAGAGCACAGGTTTCTTTTGTGTGTGCGTCGATGCACCGCGTACCGCTGGCGGGCAAAGTACAAAGCATATGCCATTGATCGCAGCAACGCTTATCGTATAGCTGTGACGATATGTTGTATGAGCAATCACCGGAACTCCGAAACTCGAGCACATAAAAACTGAACGTAGAAAATGAATGCGGACGGTGGGAGAACTTGCCTACTTCCGCGACACGGCTCGTAGGAACGAACAATAGTTGGCACGATAACACTTCGGCATGCTGTTTGAAGCCAACAGGCGAGAAGCTTGCAGCCAAAACCAGGAAAACAAGGAAACGGACGGCTGCACGGAAAGTCACGAGCGCTACCGAGATAAGTTCGCCGAATGAGCGCCTGCAAGATGTCGCGAGCGTTAAACGGTCGAAAGCGCACCTGACAAAAGAAATGAGGGAAAAAATGTCGTCGGAAAGATCCGCAGCGCTCACCTTGAACAGCAAACCGCAAGCTGACAGCCGAGGGTCTCTAATTTATTGCCTCTGTGTCCCAACTTCTTCGGCAGAGGTGTCGCGAGTAAGCGCGCCCTCGGAAAAGAACGACGCGACGCGCTACCACTCCGAGCAGTGTGACAACGGTCCTAAAGGGGCGCCTCTTTCTGAACGTTTTCGGCACCCCCTACGCTTCCTTCTTTCGAGGCCCCCGACGACTGCTCGGCTGACGATGCGACTGTCCTCAACTCAATGGGATGGGACGAAAGCCGTAAAACGCCGCCACGGCACCCTCGGTCGCGGGACGATTTTTCATATCTGCTGCCCCGACCACAAAGGGACAGGCGTGCCAGCGAGCGCACATGTGGCCATCGGGCGCGCGCATGCACGCAGATAGCGCAGCAGCCGACCCGGGGCGAGTCAGGTGGTGGTCGCTGCCGCGATGGGTGCCTCGGAGACCGTTTTTCTTTCTCGCAGGGGGTCCCACGCTGATGGTCTTATGACACTCGAAGACCATTGTCTTGCGACTCAGCACTCGTCTTTGGGAACCATTAACCGAAGAGCGAGCCGAAAGCGATGCTCGCTGAAACCGTTGGCTCGATGGAGGACCTTCCTGTGCGGCGTCTTGGATGCTCGCGGCAACAAAGAAGTCCGCATTCGTCTCGCCATTTAGTGACCCATTTAAGGGGGTCCCCCCCCCCCTCACGAGAAAGGGCTGCATGGCCCCCCTGGGAGTCACCCCTTCTGGCCGATTCCCAGGACGGGGTGTCTTTCCAGGGCCCATGCGGGAAGTGCTGCTCCGAACCTACCCGCTCTCCACGCGTGCCTAATTGCCGAGAAAAGAAAAAAAGAAAGACGACGAAGGACGCTCGAAACGCACGAAGAATGGAACGAAGAAGACGGCCATGAGAGCGCAGTCTGATGGTGGTCCCCGTCTGCGAACGCGAGAGGAACAAAAATAAAGAACAGAAACTCCCCAGAAGCAGCGCCCTCGTCCGGGCAGAACCCGCGCTACGTCGTTGTGTGCTGCATCAGTGTGCGGTGGCTGTGTCAGTGTTCAGAGGTGTTTGCTGCCGGCGACGACTTTGACCCCGGTCGGACGTGAGACGGGTGACCGTGATCGTAAGCCGCTTTCAATGTTCCATAGTAGGTTTCCATGTGCGTGCTAAGTTTGTCCCGACGATGTGTGGCGTCGGAGAGTGTAAACGTATACGTCTTGTACCCAAGGTAAGGTTAATCCATGCACTGCAGAGAGATAAGAGCGCTTACGAGACATGCTTGAACGTGCAGGTCGCTTATGCTGTATACCTTTGTTCCTATAGACGCCAAGGAAAGTGTGACATCGCGAGACGGCCCACCCAGTGATTTATCGTGTGGTCTCAGCGCCGTCATAGAGTCTTGAGATGCATATGTAAACGTATGTTATTTATAGCTTCAGCGTGTTCCCCAGTGTACAGAATTTCGTGGCTTCATATAAAAAAAATTAGCATTTCCACAATGTATAAGGGTGAATAAGCCCTTCCGTTTGTCTGTTGTTTCTCTTTCAAGCTGATAGCAAATCTTCAATGGTGATTCAAGAAGCGAGGAGCAAAGCTCCGAGCTTCCGTGCGTATTTTTAGGTTCGCCACGCGCATGATCGAAAAAATGCGATATTTACCAGTATATCGTTGGGAAACCAGGAATATTCCATCAGCAAGGCAAATACGTCTGTGTGAAGAAATTGTACGAAGAAATACACACACGTGCACACGTAAGCTCATGCATCCGCAACAGAGCATCGACGGAGTGTGCTGTGGAGCCGATGCGCGTGCTGCGTTACGGACGCGTACAGTGGGCACTATGCCAATTTGTAGAAGCAAGAATTGTGGCGTAGTGGCCACTTAACATTTGTTCTTGGAGTAGGTCTTCTTGGCTAGTTTCAAAAGGTCAATGTTGCGTGTGCAGACGTTCTTTTTCCTTGTGCCACGGTTGACGTGTCCACAGAGGAGCGAAGTGAGGTAACCTTCACTTTGCTCTGAGGAGCCGATGTGAACAGGGTCTAATTACTTCGTGCGTTCGACTCTTGAAGACAAAGCTCAAGCTTCCTGTGAGTTTTTTTTTTTTTGTTCTTCACACTTAGCACACGAATAGCAATACAAGCCAGTAGTTCTCACATGACCGGGTCGAGTAGTGATACAAGCCAGTACACTCACGATCGGGTCCTGGTTAAATGCTGGCTACACCCAGGAAACCAGACGAAAATGTCCGGTTTACCGTCTATATCCAGCACGCGGGGCTTGATTAAGAGAGTAGTTTTCACACGACAGCACCAGTTACTGCTTGGCCAACACTTCAACTTTCAACATGCGATTTCTATACCTCATTTTAACTATTCGAATGTTTTTGGATCGATTAACTATTGCTTCACGTGACTGTTTCTATCGAAAGTGGATACCCGAGTTGATATCCCTTGTCGTTCGTTTCACACCGATGATTTCGCATTCGGGGAATTCGATGCTTCTTGGTATGGGTAACACAACGATTATTTTTCGGTTAGCCGTCTGCCCCTAAATAATTCACCTGTTCCCTGACGTCATTACCTAAAAAGAAGATTATTGCACTGTCGCCACTATGTCCATGATGTAGCGTAACTTTGTGCAGGTTGGTATTCAATTTCAGCATCTACAGCACAGGACAAGGTCTTGTGTTGTGCACTGGACGCTGACATGAATATTCGTATAATTAACTTTAAAATTACCTCAGACGGCTCTCGCGTCGGGACAGTGAGGCTTAAGCTTACTTCGTATCACGACCCTTCTGGACGGCCTGTATACTTGATCTGAAAGGGCTGTATTGAGAAGGATTCTTTGCTACCATCCAGTCGTTTTCATTATCAGTTGCACTTGTTTCAGTGCGAAAGTTGACACTTGAGCACATACGCGAATAAGCGAGACAGTGTAGGCAAGGAAGCCACCTGCCGTAGCACCATTGGTACACCGAACACGACATGCACGGTTCGTGCGTTCAGCATGCCCATGAAGCCAGGCTGCCTTTTTGTCCATTTCGTCTAGAAATCCACGCACCTCTACTGAAACAGATGACCTATTTCATCAACCTAATTATATTTGCTTAATACGCGACAATACACAAGTCCCTCCACCGATTCATTGTGCTCTAGTTTGCTTCCATGCTGAGCACTTTCACAGCCACCATTTGTAAATGAAACGCACGTAACTCGCATGCTAAACAGCACGTGTTGTGGTTTGAGTCAATGAGTTGCGACATTTGTTTAAAGACAGCTCCTCTACACATCTCTTTTGTAACCATTTTCAACTAAGCACTGTCCAAAGTCAGTTTTATCAGTAATAATTTTATAGGGGCCTCAATGTTATTAGCTGTCTCACTGCGCTCTCACATGAGCTCAGAGTTGACTGTCATCACAGCAACTCGTAATGAACGTAAATGAACCTGTCAGAAGCAAGAACGTCACAGACAAGAGAGAGAGAGAGAGAAGGCTTGTCCAAAAGAATGGCGCAAAACATTAGGATTCTGCTGAACTGTGCTTAGATATTCCGTGAATTACGTGGCGTCAACAACGTTCATTTTATTGTAGTATAAAAATAGATTGAGGTTTTATAAAAATAGATTCAAGTGATTGACTATGTGATGTGGTGTCATAATTGGTTTATACAAGCGAATACCGAAAACATATGGGTTTTGAGTGGTTACAGAGTGAGGTGTACACGGCAATGTCATTCTGATGAGTTACTTCACACGCTCGTAAAAATAATTTCGTATGGTTCCAATTTTCAGTCTGTACACGAATATCAAATACAGACAATCACACATTAATATGCATGCAGCCACTCAACTAAGGAAAATAGAATTTCTTAAGAACAAACAAGAAAAATTTCCGCTGCTGCGGTATCCATGTGGCAATGCCATGATGCACAAGAATTTCAACCCCAAATGTTCGAAACTTACACCTCGGCTGCATATATGCACTTGCCTTATACGGGTATCCCACGTAAATTTAGCCAGGGAAGTAGTCTCACAACATGTAGTTGCAGGCCCCGCCGCTGTGGTCTAGTGGCTAAAATACTCGGCTGTTGACCCGCAAGTCGCAGGATCGAATACCGGCTGTAGCGGCTGCATTTCCGATGGAGGCGAAAATGTTGTAGGCCCGTGTACTCAGATTTGGGTGCACGTTAAAGAACCCCAGGTGGTCGAAATTTCCGGAGCCCTCCACTACAGCGTCTCTCATAATCATATGGTGGTTTTGGGGCGTTAAACACCACATATCAATCAAATCAATCAACATGTGGTTGCAGGACATGTACACGTGTTTGGTCGTGTATCCACTTTAGTTAATACTATTTCTGTGTGTAACTGACCTTTCTAGTTGGCAGATATAAGTAAAAATAAGACAAACACATCAAGTCACGTTAGCTGGCACACACAATGTGCGAGAGAGAGAGAGAGAACATACGGAGAAAGGCAGGGAGGTTAACAAGGGCTGAGCCTCGGTAGGCTACCATGCACTAGGGAAGGGGAGAGGGGAAAGTACTACATGCGATTGTACATAGTGCCTTGGAAACAAACAGCTAAAATACACGTTCATACAAGCATGAAACGTACAGGGCACAATCCTCGTTTACATGAGAGCCTCACACAACCGCTTCCATCCGGCTCAGAATTACAGCGTTCAGAAGCCACCGAGGGCCGCATACTTTTATTCAGGCAAACAAATATGTTCATTAATTTATAGGTAACATATATGTAGAACTGTTTTCTATTTGCAGCACAATATTACTTGAATAACATCATCTTGCCACATTTACTTCTGCCATATGGACCTAAGACCAAACTAAAAACACACTGACGTCAAAGTGCGCTTGTGAAGCGCACCTGTTTTACCCT